CGCCCGCCTCCGTGCCGCTCGCAGTCACCGTCGGCTCAACCACCCAAAGCGACTCAAAGTCACCATTCTCCAGCCACGGCCCGTGTGTCGACATTCAAGCGCCGGGGTCCCGAATCACGGTGGTTGCCCGTTCCCCCGCCCTTCCCCCGCCCTGTTCCCCCGCCCTGCCCTCGTGAGCACCTCGGTCGTGATGCTCGTCCCAAGCAGCTTCCACCACCCGCTCTCTCCCAACATGCCCTCCGCAGGCGGCATGGGTCGGTTCAGACTCGGACACCGCCACCATCTCGGGGACGAGCATGGCGTGCCCGCACGTCGCGGGCGTCGCGGCGCAGATCCGGGCAATGCGCCCGGACCTGGCTCCCGACCAGGTCACTGCTGCGCTGCTCTGTTTTGCCACGCCCGATGCCATTAGCGGCCTCCCATCCGACACAGCCAACAAGCTGCTCTTCAACGACCTCGACGACGCTACCTTGTCGTGCCTCGAGGCGTCGAGCCCCTCTCCACCGACATCGCCCTCGCCACCGCCACTGCTACCGTCCACCCTCCCCCCGCCACTGTCTCCCTCTCCATCGCCGCCACCGCTGGCGGTCTCGTCACCGCCCCCTCCCTCCCCGTCACCACCCCCACCTCCCGTTCCATCGCCGCCACCGCTCGCGATCTCGTCACCGCCCCCTCCCTCCCCATCACCACCCCCACCTCCCTCTCCATCGCCGCCACCTCCCTCGCCCTCGCCGCCGCCGCCTCCCTCTCCATCGCCGCCGCTGCCTTCTCCTTCGCCTCTGCCTCCGGTATCGTCGTCTGACTGCGTCTGCAACGAGTACGCCATCTCAAGCCACCCGAACCGCTGGTACAACGGCTGGTGGAGGAAGACAGGCAGCGCGTGTGGCGACAAGCCGGTTTACAAGAAGGGCAGGCGCTACCTACTGTTCGACGACCACCAAGGGCGCTGGGAGTTCAGTAGTGGCCCGTGCAACACCGGAAAGGACTGGTACCCCGGGCAGGACGGCGCAAGCTGCCCGAGCGGCAACACTGCTGGGTGGGCGGCCACATGCACCAACGGGAGGGATGATCCAAGCCGCCGCTAGTCCTTCGTATCACAAGAGCTGCAAGAGTTACTCGACTCGTGTTGTAGCTCACACAATCTCTTCCACCCCTCCAGGATTTATTCGGAGCGCAC